ATAACTCGATAAGATTTTTACTCTTGCCACAACTCGCACTAGATTACCTGTGAATACATACGTCAGCTTTAACTTTCTCACGCGAACTTCATCTGATAAGGCGATTTCTTTTAATTGAGGTAAGGGCAGTTCTATGGTTTGTTAGTTTGAAGCCATATAATAGCGGTCTTCATCAAAAGTGATAAACTCTTGATAAACTGGATAGTGATAAACTCCTAATGTTTTTACTAAAAAGTTAACTCGCTGTATTTAAGCAGAAGGAATTATAAAGTGATTTGTGACCGGGCATCGCTGGTATCTTTATTTATTATTTTTTTACTTTTATTTTTTTTTATCTCGAAGACGCCAAATTTTCTGCGAATTCGTGCAAATTTCAATATCAAATAAATAGTCTGTTCCAATAGCAGTCCGGTTTACAGGATTTAGTCAGAACTTACAGGAAGTCGTTCCTATTGACATAAAACCTGTAAGTGGGAACACATTTGAGAGAGTAACTGAGCAACTGTTCCTAGTCAGAAGTTACAGGATTTAGTCCGGCGATTTTTTTCCTGTAAGTTCATGAAAAGTGTCAAACGATCAGCTGATTTACATGTGCAAACAAAAACAGAAAGCGGTGAAAGCAAAGAACCTTATATTTGTTATAAAATGGAAGTAAACAACGAATTATTTAAATATGTATAGATTTTATTAATTATTTAGTGATATTTCAGCCAAATCAGTGTAGTGCCAATGACATGTAAACAAACCGTCTGACGTTTTTACAGGAAATAGTGCTTTTTGCGTTCCTATGCACTTCTGCATCTGTTCTCCTTTTACTCTCATTTGAGAGCGTAAAATTGTAGTTTGACAGTTCCGCAGGTTTTAGTCCGAAGTTCAAAGGAACAGACTAAATATATGTATTTGCAAAGTCAATTTAAAGCACTGTCGGCCACACTTACACAATCACATTTTGTGCATGTGTTGAAAGCACAAAAGCTCATCGATACACCCAAAAAGATCTGCAAACGCAACACAAAGCTTTGTTTTTGCTAAGTAGCACGTTAGTTTAGTAAAGTTTAAAGCATTGTTCCGTTAATATGTGTTTAAGTAAAACAAAATGCACATACATTTATATATTTGTGCGTGCAAAGACCCTGCAGTGAAAACCCAAACCAGTTAGAAACAAGTAAGAAAGTCTAAGTTCGGGCGGAGCCGAACATTAAATACCCGGCGCAAGTATTAAATACAGTGAAACCTCTCCTAACGGACACCTCTATTAGACGGACATCTCCCTTGGGCGGACATTTTTTCCTATACCAAGTTTTAAGTATAAATTTCGGAACAAATTACACTCTCTTAAGCGGACACTCTCTTGGCCGGACGCGGACAGTTATTTTGTACAAAATTGGCACAAAAAACTCTATTGAGCGGACGCGAACCTCTTATCAACGGACATTAAGATTTCTTTTCATAACAAATCAAACAAAAACCTCCGTTGAGCGGACGCGAACTCCTCATAGGCGGACAACTAAATGAAAAAAGGGGACTTCCCGCATAAAATGTGATTGTTATGCACACATTTAGTTTGGTTTGCGCAGTGGTTTAGGTTCGTTATTTGAATTATCAGAAACCCTTGGAGAATCCAATTCCAATTCTGATGAATTTATAACAATAGATAATAACAAATACATGGACTGAAGATTTAGATTTCTGGTTGGATTTTGTTACTGATAAAAATATGAAAACTATTGATGAAAAAGGTACTGACACTGAAAAAAATTAAAAATAAAACTTACGTCAATCGACAATTTCCCAGTTTTTTATGTAATAAATCTATGGTTTTATGTAGTTTATGGACTGAAATGTAATATGTATTTATTTTTATTTTGTTATTACTTAATATGTACATACGCTCATAAATGAAATATGCACTTTTGAAAAAATACATACACATTTTTGTTTGAACGATGTAATATCAATATCTTTTATTAAAATAAGAAATAGTGACTATTAAATTAATTAAAACATTAAAAAGTTCTAAAATAAGCTTCCCTTCCATTGAGCGGACACCTCTCTTGGGCGGACAAAAAATGACCGACGGTGAGTGTCCGCCCAAGGGAGGTTTCACTGTATATGGTTTTCCACCTTTCCGAAAGCTACCGCTAATAAGCTAAGATAAGGTGTATCAATTTTGAGTAAATTAGGTCCTTAAATTTCGAAATATTGAAATTTCAAGCATTTCTGAAATTTACCGTTATATGAAAAGCGCCCGTAATTTTGGTCCGATTTCAACAATTTTCTTTTATGTGGCAAGCACAATACCATACCGAGTTTGGTACAAATTGCTACAACGGTTAGCGAGATACATACATATATGTCATCACAAGTGGGCGGTGCCACGCCCATTTTCCATAATTTCAATTTTGAATAAATTAGCTTTAATATTTACTAATTTATCGAGGATTTCGTATTTTTCTAAATTACCGCTTTATGGGATGTGGGCGTGGTTATTGTCCGATTTTAAAAATTTCGGCCATTTGGTATGCTGTATCAGGAACAACAACTATGCCAAGTTTGGAAGAAATTGGTACTGCGGTTACCAAGATATACACATGTAACCATAAGTGGGCGTGGCTACACCCATTTTCCAAAAATTTATAATTTTCTTATTTTTCGTTTAAAAATGATTGTACATATCAATTTTGAGTGAATTATCTTCAGTAGTTACTAAAATATCGCAGTTTTCGTATTTCTGAAAATTACCGTTATATGGGAGGTAGGCGTGGTTATTGTCCGATTTCGCCCATTTTCAATGCCATCCGTCCTACGCCCAAAAGAAGTCCACGTACCACGTTTCGTTAAG